CTAAAAATATAATTAATTATTGGATTAATAGATGTGAAATATTATTACAAAAACAACAACAAGATAATAATAATAATATACAATTATATATTTATGAATAAAAATGTTGAATTGTGTGTGCTTTCTGTTTTAAAAAAAAATGTATGAAATTGAAAAGAAATTTCTCTTCTCTAAAACATGGTTAAATAATGCACCATCACTATTATTAAAAAATACAAATAAATTACCATCATTATCTTTATTTAATAATAATAATATCGGAACACAATGTAAAAGTGATGGATTATTACAATTATTAAATAAATCAACATTTATAGGAGAAACAACATTTACAGATACATATTATGATATTTTAAATAATAATAATAATAATATAATATTACAATATAATGATAATACCAATATTCATAATACTAATAATATTAATAATAAATATTTATTATCTAGATTAGATATTTGGTTTAGAAAAAGAAATAATTTATTTGAAATTAAAATACCACACAATATGTCAAATAAATTAAATAATAATACTAATTATTTAAATTTTATAAATCAAGAAATTAATTTATTAAAACAATTAAATTATTCAAATATTGATCAATATAAAGAAATTACTAATAATGATGAAATTTTAAATTTATTAAATTTTATATTAAATATTAAATATCATAATTTAAATGAAATTTTAAATAATAATTTAATTGAACCATATTCATCAATACAAACAATTAGAAAAACATTTAAATTTAATGAATTTAAAATAGATTTAGATGAATCTATACAAATATATCCAAATTATATTAATGATTTATGTCAAATTGGTGAAATTGAATTAATTGTTGAAAATGAAAATGAAATTGAATTGGCATCTCAAAAAATTATTAATTTATGTAAGGAATTTAATTTACAAACAGAAGAAGGAAATAAAAGTAAATTATTTACTGCAATTCAATTATCAAGTAAGGAACATTGGAATGTATTACAAGAATCTGGAATTTAAATAAAAGATTAATAAAATAAAAGTTGTATTAAATTAAATCTTAAACTTTTTAAAACTCAATCCTTTAAGCAATATTATGATTCATGTTCAAATACTCGTATTCCTGCCTCCTTTGATTCAAGTAATGTGTTTGCGAGCGTTGGTCCTGCGACTCAAGAAAAACACCTTCTTATACATTCGCATTTTGATTTTTCATTAACCTCTTAAGTTCCCCAAGGTAGTGTCGTTCGAGTAAATTATAGATCTTTCCGTATCATATTTCCGAGGTTGTATTTAGCTTAAGTTGTATTACAGACTAATTAATGATTGTTGGTAATCACAGTACTATGAGATTTTCTGTTGTGGAAGATGTATCATATAAAATTCCTAAGTATATGCAGACTAATTATATGAAACTGTCGTAACGTCATTATAACGCTATCGACTTTCGTCGTTTAGTTGATAGAGGTATTCCATCTTGATGTTTGTTATACTGCACCAAACATTCTTTGAACTTCAGATTAACAGCTTAGTAAACTGGGCCGTACCGAACAAGATGGAAGTGGTATTAATAGACATCTAACGTACATGTGTATCCATACTTGTCTTTAGTGGAATGAATATATGAGTTTTGACGATCATTAGCTTATGTATTACATCGAGTCATAACCCAATATTTTCTTCTCAAATAATGACTCAACAATTGA